TGCCTGGCACATAGTGAGCACTCAAAAAATGGTAACAGTTGTTAGAACTCTCCCCCCTTTCAGCAAAGGCTCCAGGAATGGAATTTGCCCAGGAAATTTCAAAGGCAGGCTGCAGCGTAAATGGCATTTGGAGAGGGCGTGGCTAATTGTGTTTCTGCTGGCTGAAGAGGTAAAAGTTACCACTGGGATTGCCAGGTGTCTGGATTTGGACTGGGCGGCCCTATTTTTGAGCTTTTCAGTCCAGGAAACTAACTGAAAAAAAAAATACACACACAAACCAGATGTATAAAAGTGTGTCCAGTATGTCTGTTGAAACCATCTGGCATCCTGACTGCAGAATTTCAAGATACACCATCCAGATTAATCTCTGGCCTTGACTAAGTTGTAGAATTTACCTTTTATGCACCAATCTCTTTCTGAACCATTTTCATGACTTTACCCCAATCCAGGCTTCACGTTACAAACCTTAGGTGCTGGTCTCCGCTAGACTGAAGTAGGAAGAGGGCAATGCTTTTTTCAAAGGATAGGGTGTCCGTAACTATCCAAAATGGGATGCTATTAATAATCATTCTGGGACAACAGGTACAAACCTGGCTTGTCCCATACAAGCTGGTGTGTTCAGTCATGCTTTAATAAAGGAATCAGTTCATTTAAGTGGGGAGAAATCTAGGAGAAAGAAGGCAGGCATATCAGGTGGGATGCTCTTGGCTGCAAGTAAAGGAAGTTTGACCCAGCTGGCTTAAACAATAAGTTAATAAAGTTATTTTATTAACTTATTATACAAGAAGTCTAGAGGTAGGGTGGTTCCACAGTTGGTTAATTCAGGAGCTGAGTGACATCAACGATTCAGGTTCTTTCCATCTGTCATTTTGCCATCTTCAACTGGTTAGCAATGTCCTTCCTCATGGTGTCAATAGTTGCCAGGCCTCCAAACGTCATGGCCTCACCCAGTTACAATAGCTATCACTTAAGTGAATGTCAGGCAGCATTCTGAGCACTTTGGATCTATGAACTATTTTAATCCATGCAACAAACTCTGTGAGGTTAGAACTCTTATTGTCCCCATTGTACAGAGAGATACATCAACGTCCAGAGAGGTTAAGTTGCTTGCACAAAGCCACACATAAGTAAGTGGTGGGGCTGGGATTTGAACCCAGGAAGCTGGTCTCTACAGCTACAATAATGTCCAAAGGCTGGGAAAGGAGAAGGCACACATATCAGTGGTACAGCCGGGATTCAAACTCAGGGTCCTAAGCATTTCCTTCTCTGTTTCCTCCAGGTTATATTTCCAGGTTATATTCCTTCTGGCAGGAATATAATTGGCAAAGCTCTGGAGCCCCGATTTAATCTGGTTTCTATTTTGTTTGAATCAAACCTTGTACCAGAATCCTCTGGAGAGATCTGTTCCCAACAGCAAGGC